AAAGTAAGGTTAGGGGTAGGGGAAGGGAAAAAGTAAAGAACGAATACAAATAAGTAGTGTGTGTGTGTGTGTGTGTGTGTGTGTGTGTGTGTGTGTGTGTGTAAAACAATCCCTACAAAGTACATCCTTCCCAGCCCCAGTGCCTGACTTTCCCCTGCCTAGTTCCTTATGTGGTCATTTATACGTGTGCTAAGTAGGTAGATGGCTACACAAAGTGCTAAGCAGTGAAGAATTAAGTTCCTAGTGCCTATAAAATGCTAAAAATGCAAGTGCTTCTGTGAGTTCCCAACAAAGACACTGCCCTTCATCCCAGAACTCTTGGCCTTGGATGCACCTGACTCTTACACAAGGTATTGGAAGCTGTTAATAGTGTATGTAGAAGTATTTTTGACTGGCTATTTATTATAATGCTTACTGAAAGTTTTATGGGAGCATCTAATAAATGCATTTATTTACAAATATACCCATTTACAAAGAAGATCATAAAACAAAACAAAATATGGCAAAATACATGAGTCAAAAGAAATTCCTGGAAATTGGAAGATTGCAGGAAAAAATCCAAACAAAATGAAGTTAGCAAGAGAGGAGAATAGAAAAAAGACATCTCTGTCTGGAATCTGTAACATTCCTATAGAAATTGCAGGGACTAATTTTATATTTTTTCCTTGTATGAATTATTTTTATGTCAAAAGATTTTTCCTGTAACATTGCCAGGCCAGCAGTCAATTAGTATTTCAGCTCCTCAAAGGAAGCATTTTCCTGATGCTCTGTGAGCTCTCATTTAATAGTAGTGGATTTGTGGATTCTCCCATCTACAGAGGGAAAAACATTTTCACTCATTTTCACCTTGCTAAAGTAATCTACTTCCTCTTTGATTATGACAGAATTCTAATTTCAATGAAATAGTGCAGGAGTAGTAAGCTGTGGGACCACAGTGGCATTTTTTAAATAAAAAGTTATTGAGCATCTGAATCAAGTGAGTCAAGGTATTAAAATATTTCATAAGTAGGTAAAATGCTTCATGCCTACCGCAAACTCCAAATTTAGATTGGGAACCTGCTAATCATTCTGAATAATGATGCTAGAATATGCATTTCAGATGTTGCTTCTGTATCTAATTATTTTTTAAACTTTTTTAAAACAGGTGATTATAAACAGCACAATCACACCTAATATGACCTTTACGAAAACATCGCAGAAGTTTGGTCAGTGGGCAGACAGCAGAGCAAACACTGTGTTTGGTTTGGGTTTTTCCTCCGAACAGCAGCTAACAAAGGTAACGGGGCTCCTTTTATTTCTGAAACAGCAGTTGGGGTGGTTCTTGTGAGTTAAGGAACTGCTGCACTGTCGGTACCAATCTGGTAGGAGTCTCACAAACTGAATTTCTTGGCAGCTCATTAACTCTTCTTCTCTACATACAAGTTGTTAAACTCTTAACTATCCAGCGGTTGCTTATAGAGCCTCAGTGAAGGTTTACAAAAGTTCACTGACACAAGGATACATTTTAATTTGATCACTTGTGGCCCTCTATAAAAACAAAAGGCTATAAAATTTTGAAGCTTAGTTTTTTAGATGTTCTCAAATACAGTCTAAGCAGTTTCTTGGCATCTCTTTTCCTAGACTACATGCTAATTTTATACAAAAACTACATTAAAAGAACATTAAGGATACAAAGTGAAGCACTAAAATGTCAAAAAATGCCCAAATTAGGCTGCCTATGCATGTTTAACTCTACACCTATGTTGCAGTGAAGTCTTTATCATTTTAGCAGTGACATCCAACTAATTAGCTTATCTAGAATCCAAAATTGTCTTCCTATGAAGCACATATGGCCTTGAATGTAGTGTAGCGGTGGACTGGTTTGGATGTTGATGAGTGACTTTGACCCATAGTGGCTGGCCCTTTGATGTTAAGGGGACTTTACAAGTGACTATAAAGGAAAGTTCTCCTTTATCTCAGCTGGTGTAGGCCTGTGCTTTTGGAACAGAAGGCTGAACATTGTAGTTCTAGCTCTCCCATGTCACTTGTCTGCAGAGCAGGGCTTGGTTACAATGAATAAATATCCATTGTAAAATATCCAGCCAACTCTGGTAATAAATAACTAGTAGTGTAAACAATACACTCTCGCAGTGATTCAATTAATACTTTGCAAACGCAAGTCAAGCAACCAGAATGTTTGTTCACAAAATAAAAGAAGGTACTTATCTAACTCATAGTTGATGTTTTAAGCATGAACACGCCGCCCTTATTGGCACTGTTCTATCAGTTAACCAAATATCATGTCCTTGGGCATTCCAAACAGTCTCCATTAATCTCCCTCTGTCTTCTTGTATGTTTTGGTTTGAGAGGTACTAGTGTTGAAATTTTAAAAGCTGCTGCTTGGATCTGAAAGAAGACTGACCGTTGTAGGGAAAGGAAAAGCCTGTTGGATGTGATGTGTTTACTTTCAGTCAGTTGCGTGACTGAATTCTACATGAACTTGTTTTTATTAAGTTGGTCTTACTGAGTTCATGCATTTTCCACACCATTGCATTTTTTGCAAATATTTCACATTTGCAAAAATGTTCATGTAAAATTGTTTTTGCTCGTGGGGTGACTAGAAATGTGTCCTGGTAACAATCTGGTTCTCCTGGAATGTTACAAGACTAAACCATCCAGTAAAACGAAAAAATATTACCTGCTTTAAAAAAAGGAGAACATATCTGTGGCAATGCTTCAGGAAACTTATCTCAAAACAGAAGAATCAATCTTAAAAGGAATGTGTACCATGGAATATCTTTTCAGTTCCCAGGAGAGAGTGGTGTGTGTATTAAGTAGAATGGGAATGTAAAAGAATTAAAACCTATTCAGAAGGCAGATGGGTGTGCAGAGGGCAAACGTGTAACAATTATGCACCAAGTGAGGAATATACCTTTCTTCAGAAATAATTTTGGAGTGTTTGTAATGGTCCAGAATTCAAAGGTAATAGTGGCAGGTGACTTCAATAGCCATCTAACCACAATGTGGGATAAACTACCAACAAGACAAGGTCCATCTAAAGAAGCTCAAATGCTGGAACTAGTATATAAAGGACAGGATGCAATGGAGATTTGGATTTTGCTTTTTTTCTCTGAAACTGCCAAAACCACATACTAGAATAGATTTAATTTTCATATCAAAAGGTTTCCTACATGAAATCTTAATATTAGAATGGAATATCTCTGACTCTGTTCCTGTCTTCATGAAAATAAAGTCCAGTTCAGGATTAATAAAAGCTGGATATTTAGTAATATATTGTTAAAAGACACAGACTTTGTGTATGAAATGGAAAACCACATTGATGATTATATTAAGGACAATAGCTCATGGGATATACCCGGGGAACTAGATGGGAAGCCTTTAAAGCAGTAATGAGGGGACATGCTATAGCTATGCCGTAGTTATAGGGGAAAAAAGATATTGGTAAAACCGGGAAAAGTTAGAGGAACAAATTTTGCAGAAGCAATGTGTCTAATAATGTAGACTTAGTCAAAGAGATTAAGAATGCGAAAATAGCATTAGAATACTGACAACAATAATAAAAAAAAAAAGACAGCTCCCCTGTTTGCCAAAGGATCTACGAACTGGGGAGGAATCATACTGCAAGATAGTAAAATGCCCAGACTGACAGAGTGAAAGGGAGGTACTTGATGGCCCAATAGCATAGGAAGAAATAATAAAAGTACCTAGCTCTTACATAGCACTTTTCAGATGGAGAAACTGAGACACAGAGGAAAAGTGACTCACCCAAGGTCACCCAGCGGGCCAGTGGCCAAACTGAGAATAAAACCTAGCCTCCTGAGTCCTAGTCCAATGCTCTCACCAGTAGGCCGCAAGTGATTTTTTCATTAAAATCAGGGAGAAGTCCTGGGCTGGAAGGGTATACCACTGAATTCTATAAAATGTTAAAACACAGGTAACTCCCTTGCTAGCGAGTGCACTTCAGTCTTCTGAGGCAACAAAATCCTTACTGGGCACCTTCTAACACACACACGTAGTTTTGATACCTAAACCAAACAACACTTATCCAATCCAGCATCGTATAGGCCTATCTCTTTTTAATAAAGAGAGCGTAAGATTCCACACCTGATTTGTGGAACACAGTAGAGTTATGGAGTGTGTGGATATACTCCTCCCGTGCATGTACACTTTTTTGCATGGACCTTGTCATAAAAGGGTGACAGGAGAGTGCTGATAAGAAACTGTTTTTTATTTCTTGGCCCCAATCTCCTGACAATAGGCCACAGTTACAAAAGTTTTTAATAAACCTGTCACATGACTGGGGTCAGTGTCTAGGGTTTTTGACCGGAATGCCCAGTTGAATAGGGACCCTGGCGGCTCTGGTCAGTAATGCTGACCGGGTCGCTAAAAGACTGGTTGGCGGTGCAGCGGGGCTAAAGTCTGGCTCCTAGCCACAGGTGTGGCCAAGAGGCTTCGAGCGCTGCCCCCGCTCTGAGCGCCGGCTCCGTAGCTCCCACTGGCTGGGAATCGGGGCCAATGGTAGCTGCGGGGGTGGCACCTGCGGGCAAGGGATGCGCACATAGCCCCCGGTCCCTCTGTCTAGAAGCTGGACAAGCCAGCTGCTTCCGGGAGCCGCCTGTCCCAGACCTCAGCCCCCTCCAGCATCCCAGAGCCCACACCCCCGCTGGAGCCCTCACCCCTCCTGCACCCCAACCCCCTGCCCCAGCCCTGAGCCCCTCCTTACCCCAAACCCCTCATCCCCCACCCCACGCTGAAACCTGCACCCCCTCCCACACCCGCACCCCCTCCCCAGCCCTGAGCCCCCTCCCACATTCCGAACCCATAGGCCCTAGCCCGGAGCCCCCTCCTGTACCTGGAGCCCTCACCACCTCCTGCACCCTGAACCCCTCATTTCTGGCCCCACCCCAGAGCCTGCACTCCCATCCAGAGCCCTCATCCCCTCCTGCACCTCAACTCGCTGCCACAGCCCTGTGAAAGTGAGTGAGAGAGAGTGAGCAATGGGGTGTGTGGGTGTGTAGTGAACAGGGGCGGGGCCTCTGGGCAGGGGGCGGGGCAAGAGTTCGGTTTTGTGTGATTAGAAGTTGGCAACCCTATCAGTGGCCACTGACTTAGGTTAGCTGTCAAAAAACAGAGTCATTGTCCTCTGCTTTTGTTCAGCCATCTTTTGTTCCTGCTGTAAAAGAGGTTTTCAGGCATGGATTATGTCATATGAGCTTGGGGTGGATAGTGTAGCTCTTGCTTTGGTGTAAATTGCCAGCTACTTTGTCTGGAATCTGATATTCTTGCCATCTGCATAATTTTGTTGTTCTTATTGTAGGGCTGCTTCAGTTCCTGTTCCTGTTTCCATACAGCTCTCTTGTAACTACTTCGGGCTTAATTATTTGCCTCAGAAGCTTATTGGCAATAGGTTTTTGCCTTCAGCCCGGTAGTTTCTAAGCTGGTGACTTCATAAAGAACCATAGTGAGGTGTGTTGTGATATTTTAGCAATGTCTTTCTTCCACCCATCAGAGCTTTTTTTTAATTGAATTCTTTGCTGTTTCTCCTAACTTCTCTGCCAATCCATTTGATGATAGAGACGTGACATGGCATGCCTGAACTGGTATATCAAAAAAAACCCAGGAGTACTTGTGGCACCTTAGAGACTAACAAATTTATTAGAGCATAAGCTTTCATGGGCTACAGCCCACTTCTTCGGATGCATATAGAAGTGGGCTGCAGCCCACGAAAGCTTATGCTCTAATAAATGTGTTAGTCTCTAAGGTGCCACAAGTACTCCTGTTCTTTTTGCGGATACAGACTAACACGGCTGCTACTCTAAAACCTGGTATATCAAAGAGAATCGCCAGAATGAGCCACTCATTAATTGTGGGCCATTATCTTAACTCATTCACAAAACATAAATGGCAAATTTCATGCAGCCTAGTTTCCAAGCGCTTCCTGCAAAATGAGCTGGCAATTAAATATAAATGAGACTGGTTGGGGGGACCCAGGGGGGGGGCAGCTGCTTTATAGCTCTGGCACTGGCGCAACTTGTGCTTAGGAGGAATAAAACATAACACCAGAAATGTAAAACCTTAAACATGTAAAATGTAACATCTACTAAAATATATATTTCTGTGGATGACTATCTGCAGATTCAAGTGACTTTCAAATAATTCATATTATGTGACACCTCTTCGCACGTTCAATTCCCCATTAAATATCCGCAGGGGTGATTCATAACCAAATATAGTGTTTGTATGCTACGCTTTCCCAAGACCAAAAACACTTGTCAA